AGCCTTAGGCCAGAGGGCTTAGGGCATAGTGTTTAGGGTTTATGGGTTCCTCTGGGATCCCCCCCTCAAATAAGTTTTCCCGTACTTGATTGGGGGCACCCCGGATTACTCAGATCCGTACTTGTTGGGGGTGGGGGGCTTTATAATCAGAACCCCCCATTACAAGCATGTGAAGAGAGAATATAGAAAGTTATGATTATAGTTAGCTCCTTCCTAAACCCTAAACTCTAAAACCTAAACCCTAATTGTCCATGTTGCCACAATCCAGGGTGCAGGAAATGTCTGAACGTGGGGATGAGCTGCAGTGTACAGTTCAGAGTTAAGGGTTTGTTGGGAACTCTAAGCTCTAAACCCTCAGCCCTAAACTCCACACCCTACACCCTAAACTCTGCTACTTGGGTTCTGGAGCTTTGTTTGCTGGATATGGGGCTTAGGACGCCTGATCCTAGAGACCCCGTTGGCTAGTAGGGAACGGAAAAGAACACGGAAGTTAGGGTTTAGGGTAAGCTATCAGACTATTTGAGTTTTGGGGTCTAGGGCCAAAGTGTGGGGTGGTTTTTGTAGGAATGGAGGAGGAAAAGGAGATTAGACTTTGTGTGTGTGGTTTGTGGTGAATACTGGTTAGTAAGGAATGGTGAAGAACATGGAACCTTCCTTAGGTTTAGGGTTTAGGGTGGTTAGTAGTGAAAGGAGGAATGGGTGACAGCGGCGAGTTTGGAGATTGTACAGGGTGACTACGGGGACCAAATTCCCTCATCATTTCCTATTACTAACCACCGGTAGAACTTGGATTGTTATCTTAAATTGCACAAGGCCAGCCTTTGCTTTCTGCACATAGCTGCTGTCTGTTGCTCCAGCATACAGCGGAAGACCATTCTGAAAAGATATGCGCAACAAGACCCTTGGACACCTCAACTGACACAGAGTGAAGTTGCCGCAAAGATATCGCGGCCTACTCTCAAGTTTGCTTCGTCGTATCCTCAGCATGAACACCCCGCCCCCAAAACATGGAGGCTCCCCCCAGTATGTGATAGGACTATATACGACATATGAATGATTAATTATGATTGAGCAAGTGATCTAGAAGTTTCCCAGAAATAGGGGGATCCCCCATATCGACCCTGCAATACTATAACCCGTATTCAAGGGACCCCTAAACTTGAGAAACCCCCATCTGTTTTTAGGAGAGGACCTAGACCCTAAACCGTAAGTTGTTAAGTGCTCTCTGACTCTCTGACGGCGATCAACGCGCTCTGCCTAAGATAGGAAGTTAGATGCGCGGACGCGCTAGACCGTCCTCAAGCCCTCTGATGGGTAGGGCTTAGAGCTTAGGGATCTATAGGGTTGAGGATGTAATTAAGGCTTCTGGGTCAAGCTTTTAGGTTTTAGGGTTCAGGGTTTGAGTTTGGAATTTAATGTTTACAGTAGGGCCTACACACGTAAGAACCTCACTCCGATTGAGCTTTGAGCTTTATAGAGTTTAAGGTTTAGAGAAATTTAGAAGACTTCTGGATGTTTTGCCCGTAAGGGCTCTCTTCTCTAAATGTGAAATCGCATCCTGTCGACACAGGCATGCTGAAGTTTTCTTTTGACCCTTCTTTCAGATGTTAGGCCGCTTCATTTGATGAAAGCATGGGGGAGATTGTATCGGTATGTATCAAGGCGTGCGGATGTCAAGGGGCTAGTCGTCATCTATTCAGGTCACGAAAACCTTCATCTCACACCAGAGCCCCGAACTCTAAAAAGCATACTCCAGAACACTTCACAAGCAAGGACCCCGCAACAGCTGCAGCTACATGATAGCTATGTGGTCTCCATTCTTAGCATTTTTCTACCCTAAAGCCGACGTCCCAAATCTAAGATCCCCAGCCTGGCAAAAAATCCCTAGCCCCAAAAAGGCACCGCAAGCCTCTAGCTTCGTTTCGATGCGCCATATATCCAAAGCCTTTGCCCCGCCGCGGAGTCGAGCCGCGCCTGCAAAGCAAGGAGAATCAGATCTTAGGGGTTAGGGTTTTAGGGTTTGGGGTTTTCTTATTTAATGCTTTGGGCCTAGAGGTTTTGGTTTAGGGTTTGGGGTTTAGGGATTCCTCGAAGAAGGTTGGCCCTTAGGACCGTAAGGCATGTGGGAGTTTCGTAAAAGTAGGGGGTCCCTTTTTTTGAGGTCTGTGTTCGAAGGATCTTCGCATTTGCGAGTGTAAGGGGGCAACTTTTTTCGAACCACCCAGATGTGGGCGTGATATGGGGTTAAAATATGGAGTCTGCCTGGAGGACTGTAGAGAGTGTATCTTGGAGAAGCTTCCAAGTTACAATCACAGCAGCCAGCACAACAGCATGAATAGAAAACAACCTAGCAACAGCTGAATGACTTACTGGTTCTTAGTAGGGCATAAGAGAATCTAACCCCTATATAATCCCTGTACCCTTATTCCCTACTAACCCCCGGTAAGATGAAGGCTACGTTGGCCGGAGAAATGCAGGTCAAGAACATTGGATGCAAAAGGTGGACCTGTAGCACCGAAAGGCAAAAGTGAAAAGCCTCACCAATGCCAAGCCCCAAGTGCTTCCTAACCTAAGACTGATGCAACTTTAAAGCAGTACGAAAAGGGCCTAAATTATCACCAGTATCATTTTGAGGTCTATTTGAAGCACCCTACACAACGATCATACCAGGAATCTAGGACCATGATCTTGGAAAGAATTTAGGCTTGAAAGTTATGTAAGGCTTGGGGACCATGAGCCGCAACCCGACAGAACAACTCGAGATCGGAGTCATGGATCCAGATGGACCAGGGGATTAGAGTCACTGGATTAATATTGGAATAACATGCTGGTAGGACTTGTATCTGAAAAGGGGTAATGGTGGTATTGGTTGTGACTCCAGAATGGTAACTCATGTTCCCCTTCACTTTGCGAAAATCAACCACGCCAAAGTCAGTTTTAAATGCCAGCCACGAAGAATGTTTCCACGCAAGAGTGCCGATGAGCCTATGAAACACGGGGGCGAAGCGAGGGGGAGATGCTTGTGGACACGCGCATCTCGCTGGGAACCACGCCCGCTCGCTTGTTGGACTCTCAATCCTAAAGCCGAGTGCCACTGAAACATACTGGCAACATGAACAGCGGTTCCCAATTCAAAGCTCCTGAGCCCGAAGTCAACAATTCCTGACAGATGGTCCAACAGTCCCACTACTCCTCTTAGCTCCGCTAGCCCTCAAACTGCTGCAGTACCAAATGATGGTGCAAAGACATATGGGCAGTTAGCATGGACATGCCATCGTCCACAGAAAACCCATTGGCCTTCTATGAACTCCATCAAGGTAATTTCACCATCTCCGTTGTCCAAAAACCTTTGGCATTTTGTGAGAGGGCAGGCTTTGAACAGTCAAAAGCGGAAGACCGTGCTCCTCTAAGCAAGGAAAGGTTTGGCAAGATGCACGGTAGGATCCCGTTTGATTGGCCATTCTGTCCCTGAACGTCGTGAAGTGCAGCATGTGCTGCTTTTTCAAGGCTCCCAAAATTTCAAGGAGGGGTATCGGTGTCTCTTTGTAGAGCACGACAGCTGGGAGTCACCTCTGCATTGGATGACTGCAACTGACCGGATTGGGGTCTGCATATCTGGCATATCTAACACTGGAAGCCGCCGTGTTCTAAAATGGTACTGACCATGCCACAGCAAGAACAGCTTGATGGATAACAAACGCCGCATGTATAGTAGCAAAAAGAATTCGAGTGCAAGTACGAAAAAATGAGTAAGTACAACTAGAGGGGTGTGACTCAGAGTCCGGACAGCGACGCTATAATGATGCTGTCAAGGTAACCCACTCAAATATCATGCAAGCAGCTGGGCCTTCCTCCCTGGGTCTGACCGCGCATGATGAAGAGTTTGTATATATCAACACCACAGGTGCTGGTCATAGCAATTGTGCGCTCCAGTTGCCTGTTGCTTTTCGGGAGAGACATTGGAAACCTTCATTGTGATGAACCGGATAATACCCAAGACGGTGCACCTCCTGTGGACACAATATTGGTACATCCCATAATTATGTGTCCTGTCTTGGGAACTTCAGGAAGCTGCCGACACAGGGCCAGCCTAGACCCTGAAAACCCTATCCCTTATAGCTCCAAAACCCTAAACCCTGAACCACAAGCAAGTTGCTCGAACAAGCTCAGGAGGTCGTGGTACTCCAGCTCTAGCTGGCTCATCCAAAACCTCAGAGTGCTTGGGGTCCTAGGGCTTCGGGTTTAGGGTCCAAGGGCTTCGTGCTCAAGATTTAGGTTTTAAGGTTTAGGATTAGGCTGAGTGTTGACATTCATTCCCGCCCGTCAGCTGTGCCTTGGAGTACGGCTTGTCAATGCTTACGGCTTTGGACTTGGATGTATATACCTGATTACTTGAGCTTCCTGGGGAAGGCTACAGTGAGTAAACCCGCTGAACAAATCATATCTTGCGTTGCACGTGTGCTGCAACCTGCAATCCCGCTGTGTTAAGTCCTATAAACAGTCTTGAGTTGAGTCGGTTTTGTTTGCATGTGCTTGCTTGTGTTTGTTGGAATACATTTTGAGACCTTGCTGACTCATGGAAAAGCAAAGTTTGCAAGGAAAGCCCCTTTCAAGAGGGAGTGTTGTGGAAGTGTCCTCGCCCAAAGCACGTGGAATTTGCAGCGAGGCAGACTCCAGGGATATCTGGGAATCCCAGAAGGAACATAATCATAGGGTCCCTTCGTGGGTTCTATTCTAGCTATTCAGCAGTCAGGCTCCTCATAACAAGCAGCTAGCAGCTGTCGGTACGCATGACTGTAACTTAGGAAAGCCTGAAACCATGTTTGAGATGACTGCTCATAGCAAAAGGTGTGTGTTGGCAGAGACTGAATGCGCTGCCATTGGCTGCTGTCATTCACGTCCCCATCATCGTCGTACTATCTCCAGCATTGCTAATTTTGCTGCCCTCTTAATACCATCTAAACGAAGTTTCTCCCTTTTCTTTCTTGTTTTGGCAAAGCAGCTTCAGCTTTGGAGATTGGACGAGCTTGGAGAACTCCTGGATGGCAAGGAACCAGTGCCAAGGTTTGGAGTTCAGGGGTTCGGCTTTGGGCGCAGGATCCAGGTCTAGAGGGTTAGGGGTTTTGGGTTCAGGTTTCAGGACTGAGGGGTAGGGCCTGGGGGTTTAGGGGTATGATTAGGGGTCTAGGGTTTACCCCTTAGCAATGCTGAGGCGAAGCTGTGCAGCGGCAAATGTCGGCCGTGCGGGACTCCGTGGCTGGTTCGTGGTCATAGGGAGGTGTTCTGAAAATTGGGCAGCCCGCAGGAACCTCCAATGTCTGAGGATGGTAAGGTGATTTGGAGCTCCAGACCCTAAATAGCCAGAATAGTGGCATCCTAGGGGCCCTGACATGACAAGCCGCTCAGGGTTTAGGGCTTAAGGTTTTTTGATGTACGGCCTAGGATCCGAGGTTGTCGGTTTTAGGTTTAGGATCAACCCTCTGGGGATTGGGGCTGACGGTTCGGGATCCTCGAAGTGTGTAGGGTTGGATGGGCAAGGATCCGAGGTTTAAGGCTGAACTTTTCACCCGTAAGCGTGTTGAACGTGCTACATCACTTACCATCACAGGGCCTCAAGGAAGAGCGACAACTTTGCAATACTGCTGTCAGGGTGTGCGCTGTTGGGGGGGGGGGGGGGAATGGGCGCTGCGGTTTGCTGGGTTGTGCGGGGGGGCCGCTGTGGGGATCCATTCCTCTGTTCCCTACTAACAACAAACCAAAGATCGACAATCCGGAGACCCGACAACCCTCAATAAACTCTGAGTGTTAGGGTTTAGGGTTTAGAGCTTCATAAATTGCATGCCAATACTGAGACCATACATACAGACTGACTGTGATGTGACCCTGGTGTTCTTGCTAGTCCCTGGACCCTATGACCCGTCATACATATATATATATATACATATACACATGCTTTTAACAGTACATACATACAGACATGTTACAGGGTCTCCCCGCATACTTCCCATAAGACCCAAAGCAAAGATACTGAAACTACCACGCTGTCAGATGGATGTTTCTCCAAGCTTTGGGGCTCTTAAGGCTCCTAGGATTACGACCGGATGACGTATACAGCGATCTCGCTTGCTGGATCAACTCTCCCATCCTGCCATCTGAGTTGACGGTAGAGCCCCTACATAGCCATGAACCTCCATATGAGCCGTGGACTGAATTTGTAGTATATCCCTCACATAGGTTCCCCCATACCCCCGTATACATTCCCTACACGTCCCCCTCAACCTAAATTTAGCCCGTAGCTCACATGTACAACCTACCCCCTGCCAATTCCAACCAAGGTCTCAAAGTGAAGAGCCCCTTAAGCCCTTGAGTTCTAAGCCCGACATCCTCACTCTAAATCCCAAGCCCCAAGCTTTGAACCATAAACCCCAGACCCTAAACCCTACATCCTGCACCCTGAATCCCAAGCCCCAAGCCTTACACCAGGAACTCTAGACGCTACATCCCTAGCTCAAAACCCTTAACCGAAATCCTATATCCGGAGGTCTTCACCACAACACCCTAAACTCCAAGTCCCAAGCCCCAAAACAGAAGCCGGAAGCCCTAAATCATAGGTCCTAAACGGGCTTCAGGGTCCATGTTTTTATGGCGTAGGGCCACACTAGACCCCAAACCATCGGTCCTCTAAGTTGAGGGTACCATCTCCCGAGTCATCAATGGTCTGAAATAGCCGTTTTACTTTCCTGCTGGCAGCTGCTGATTCCTCATTGGGGTACTATAAAACTTGTACCTTTGTGGTTCTTAAGGCTTGTCGTCTTCCTTGTTGAGCATATGCAACATTGGCCAGCTTTGGGCTCAAGGAGATTCACGGCTCCAGAAATGGGGCGCTTCGTGCGGTTTGTAGGGTTTGGGGGCTCGGGGCTTGAGGCTTACTCTTCCTGCAGATAGCAGAAACCTAGCTTAGGGCAAATGATCGTAGATCTGCGACATATGCGGCCTATGATGTATTCTCTTTGTTTGCAGAGGCATCCAGAGTTGAGCAAGATATGGTAACGTCTCAGGGTGCACAAAAGCAAAACTCAACAAGCCACAGATGATATTGAGGGCGAACCTTGTGGAGGGTGGTTGAAGGTGGTAAGGCCGGTCCCAGAGCTTGACCATCTCACAATTTGTGGAAGGCCAGGGACTGTTAAGGACGGCAACATAATGACAGAGTTGTGTTTCGTTTTCAGTGGCTGAACGAGGTAAGAGCATGTTCTTAACATATAGTACAAGACCAAAAAGGAGGGTAACATCTTACTCTCATCCGCATTTCAAGTACTGCTCAGCGGCTCATAGGCCGATCAATTGTAAACGGGAACATTCTGTCAAGAGCAGCAGCAATGTCGGTTGACATTTCATGTGTGATGGCAGGCATAGGGTATGGGGCATTACTTTTTCACAACCCTTGTTGCAGGGACCCCAGAAAACAAGAATACCTCGAATACCTCCCCATCTACGTCGCAGCAATTTGGTGGTTTTGCTTTGAATTTCCAAGTGGCGGTCTTGTGAACGTAGTCCTAGCTTTGTTTGGAAAGCTCATCTCAACAAGCTGCAAACACTATTGCTTAAACAGAGCATCAACTCCTGAGCAAGTTTTTGTGCATGCCGCCATTCACACTACCCACCTCTCGAGATACTCACCAAGCTACCCTCATCTCAAGAAGCACCCTCCCATTTCGAGAAATGACGACTTACTGACGGCAACTCTGCAGTTCTGCAGCAAACATCTCAACACAAACATTTGAAGACAAAAGCTCAAGAGGTGTTTGAAGGTTCCAACGCTCTTATTCTTGCTGGCCTATGGAACCCTCCCATTCAGGATGTACCTGTTGGGCCCCTGAAGCTGCTAATATGTTTCTCACAATACTGCTACACGCAACGGCGTGACGCGACAATCGTTACCAGCTCCTTTATTGATTGCCGCCTACCCCTGATTGAACCTGAATTAAACCTTGAGAGGCTATACGCGAAGCACTATGCTTTACATCTCTAAAAACTATAAACCTGCACCGGGTCCTCGTGTACATCTGCGCATCCTGAAAAAGTGTGTTAGAGCCCTACCAATGCGAACAGCAACAACGATGATGGCTGCGTGGCACACTGTCAAAACAGAGCCCTCCGCGGATTGCCAGCGGGCTGGCATACCCCAAGTACAGTGACGCGCGTGTGAGGGGGGGATAGGGCTTGTTTGACGACTTCCAGCATTCAAAGTATGGGTATGGTTGTGACTTGAGAAAATGGTTTTGTGGATGGCATCATTAAGATCGGCTCGTCTGGAAACGTAAGAACGATCAGCAAATGTCATGATCTTTTGTCTTGTTGGGAACACAACCGAGCTATAGTCCAAACTCTTGAAAGAGGTTAAAGGGGATTATATAGGGGAGTGTTATAGCGCTTATTAATTAAGGGGGATACTCGGAGTTTTGACTATAGCCCAAATGAGTCAGCAAGACGAAATCACGGTCTCTGTAGAACAGAGGTTGAGGCTTAGGGCTCAAGAATCTCGATTGGGATTTAAAAAGCATGGGCTCTCGGTTGGGCTCTGAAGACTTGTGTCAAGTTTGCCGTTTGTGAATGGATCAAGATGTTCTGTTGGGCTAGTGGTTCTGGCTTAAGAATGCAGGTCTTCCTTCAGGATCCTTGTTCTAATGAAGAGCAGCCCCCTGAAAAGAGCATCACTAAGTCTAAGCAGCAATCCAATCCATAAGCTGTCTCATGCAATTCGAAACAATTCCACCATTGAGCATATTTTCGACAGATTCCTGTCCAATTTTCGCCGGAATCCTTTTTGACATCCTGCGCTGTATGTGTGACCTGATTATATACGCAAGTGCTTCCATACTTGTAAAACTACATGTATACTCATACCCAGGTGGAGTTCATCACTGTGAGCCTCCCGTAAGTAGGCCTAAAACCCTAGCACCGAATTTGAAACCCGGCATCCTCGACCTTAAGCACCACAAGCCCAAAAACACATTGACTGTTGTTGGCCAGGGGCCTTCTCTTTTTGCTTGAAGGCTAGCTCTTCATCAGAGCCCGCCGTCTTCATGGTCTGTTGGACGAAGACGGCGTTAACGACATTCCTTTGATGATGATAGTGACTTTCTTGTAACGGGGCTGTTCGCATGCATTCCCTTGGTGGTGGCTGCGGTTGCGGCTGCGCCTGCTGCTGCTGCTGCTGCTGCTGCTGCTGCTGCTGCTGCTGCTGGAGCCGGGGTGGTGCGGGGGTGGGGGCGGACACCGGAGGCGGGTGGCAGTGTCGGTGGCAGCGTCGGTGGCAGTGTCGGTGGCAGTGTGGTGGTGGTTGTCGTGGTGGTGCTTGTAGCGGTGGTGCTTGTAGCGGTGGTAGTAGCAGCAGTAGTGTAACAGCAGCTGCAGTAGTAGTAGTTGTTGTTGGAGGGGAGCGGCAAGAGGGGACAAAAAGGGTCAGGATTGCATGAGCTCAACTTTAAGCTGCTTTGCGAGATCCTTCGTCTGCTTCTCATCACCTCCGCCTTATACATATTTCCCCACCGCCCCCACCGCCGCAGCCACCACCAACACCACAATAAGAAATACATCCCCCAAGATGCACACATGAAATGTCAAGCCACGGGGGGGGGGGGGGGGGGGAAGGGCTGAATTTCATTTTCTTGTGGGGAGTGGGTCCAAACTTGTTATTTCAAAGATGAAGCCAAGTGCGCACAAAAAAAGATCCTACATCTTACTCGCGCCCTGCACTGAAATTTTAGATCAACGCAGCATATACAAAATCAAACCAACATCTCGTGAGGGCGCGTGAATCACGTGCAGTGTAAATAGCAAAAAGATCAACACAAAACTCATATTTCCAATCATGAAATGTGAACCTTTGAACTCAAAATTTAGACCCAGCCCCCAAATCCGAACCTTGAGCCATAACCCTGGAACCAAAGTCCTCCATCCTAAGCCCCAAACCTATAAGCCTGTATGTCATAGACGCGAATCTTAGATATCTTAAACTCCAAGCCCTGGACCCCAAACCCTTAAGCCCCTACTCTTTGCCGTCCTCTCCCCTTGCATACTCCTATACACCCGCCATATCCCTTTATTGAACCCTAACTCCTGAACCTTGAAGCCTAACGAGCCCCTTTAGCTTCCTAGGTTCAACACAGCGAAGCCAAGGACACACCTTCAAGGCCGGCAAGTGACAACTTCACAGCACTGCAGGGTATTCCAATATGTTATATAATATGTTTATGGTTCTTGCCCTACTTTTCTATAGGTAACGGTTGCATGCTAATATTCTCATGGAGGATAACATGGAAAAGGGAGATTACAGGATTTACTTACACAGTTATTACGAAACAAAAGCCGTCTTATTCTGTATCCGAACTGGTAATTACAGGGGACTATGTATCTGTACAGTAATTACAGGGGACTAGGGGGTCTTACTTGCTTGTACGCTGGGCTTCTTCCTGCTTACTTCCAAGTTAAGGTTAGGGCTTGGTACAGGATTGGGGTTTGGGATTTGGGGTNNAAACCGTAAACCCTAAAACCCCTAAACCCTAAACCTGTCAAAACAGCTTCCCCTACATGTAAGCCCTCCGCACGAAACTCGGCTTGTCTCATGCTGTGGGACGGACGGAACTTCTGTGATTGCCTTAAATGAAGGCTCCTCTGCACAGTACTGAGTCCAGTGACCACGGCCATGGAAACTGATAAGATTCGGGTGCACATAGAGTCTTTGTGTACCATGGGTCCCCTTCACAAGAGGGATTCCCTGTGTCTACTTGAAAGCAAGCCCTCAAAGACTGTACATCCAGAAGATCCTATCCTATCTTGCCTTCCTTGCCTAAGCTACTCATCTGCGTTGCTGTGATCAACTTGGCAAACATTCACCAACTACCCTCAATTGGTGATACACTAGGTCTCGGTGTAAGAGCGCTGTGATGCAGGATCCTGATCCCTGTCCACGCGCACGTAGAGATCTCATCCACAAATCATCCAAAGCCAAGTCGGGGGGAAACAAAATTCTGGTATGTCGCATTGACGCTTTGCGTGCCTGTAGAAAAGGAAGAAGATGGAGAACCATTCACCTGGTCTGCACCGCAGTACACAAACGGTTACATACAGACACCTTGGGGTGCTCTTGAACATCCCAAGGATGTGCGGGCTGGTGACGGGAGTTTTTGAGCCAGTACCCGAGTACAATTGGATTGTAAACCGGCCATTTTCAGAAGCTCCCAACAACCTCCGCGCGTGTAACGCTACAAGATCATGAGACGTCTAGCGGAGTGCCTGAAATAGGAATCATACCATTTGGCTGTGATATGTAAGGAATCGTCATCATGAAGCACGCGCACAGAACCTGCGTAGCCGCAAGAAGCTGAATGTCACTGGCTGCTGCTTCGGTAAGACCTGGGAAATTTCAAAGGAGAATGATCTTATTCCGTTAAGGACGTTCTACCTCGCAAGTGATGTCCACTACACATCATCAAGTTGAAGCCTCGAACTCTTGATTGCACTCTCCCAATCGAAGGAACTACAGACCTATCAGAGGGTAGTCTGTTTGGGTACCAAGTAGAAAAAAGAAGCAGAGAGTGCAATAATTACTAAACAGTATTCAAACTTCTACACATAAACTCCACCGTCCTCCAACTCGAACGAGCTAAGCTTCCACCGTACCCAACTCAGCTAAGTCACTGAAGTTTTCCACCAGCACCCTGCATGCTGGTCCCCAATTGGCAAATAAAATTTCCTCGGGTGACGCGCGAAGTCGATGGCGTGTTGGGTTTAGTGCCGTCATGAAACAACGTGCGCACAGCTTATATTCTAAACCCAATAGCTTCACCAAACCGTTCCAGCCCATAAAGCAACCACCACAACCCGAAGTAGCACCCAAAATCCAAGCACAAGCAGTGAAGAATAGCATCCTTAACCCTGGCCCGAGTTCGGACATCCGCGGTTTAAGGTCTAGGGTTTGGGGTTTTGGGTTTAGGGTTTTGGGTTTAGGGTTTGGCGTTTAGGGTTTGCTAGGGTTTAGGGTCCCCATCCAAGGTTGTTTGTTTGGCTGACACGGAAAACAGTGTCTGCCAGGTTCCCAGAAGAACTCATACCACATGCTGCTTTGCGGGAAGACACTGTTTAAATGCCTCCTTTGCTTGTAGCAGCGTCAAATTACACACGGCAGGGGGGTGTACTATTTTCATAGGTGGACTTCTTGGCTGGCATTATCTGACACAGAAAGAATCGGGACTGACCCTCGAACACAAAGGGGGGAGCCTGTCTACTGAACACCCACAACAAGCTGGGGGGTCTGGGGGATCCTCTCGTTCCTCTTATAAGTAACAGTGGAGGGGGGATCCTTCAGTTCCCATTGAAATTGACAAGAAACAAGAAGAGAAGGGAGAAGTGCACTTTCGTTGGGTGGTGAAAAATTGGAGCGCTAAGTCTTCGGCAATAGATATGCGCATTTCTATCTGAAGAATTGGCCTTGAAAAGCAACCCATTGTTGACCCACTATTCACCCACTCGAAAACCTTGACTTAATTGAGCCCCAACATAACCCCTATATAGTCCCAATGTAACCCCTGCATAATCCCAATACAACCCCTTATCCCCAATACCCCCAAAACGAACTCATGGTTGAGGTTAAGGAATCCTGCTTGTTGGACTGCCTGCCCCCTTTTTATGTTGATTGCTATGTATGCGTCACTCACATGCTGAAGCGCAAAGGAGGACCCAAACCTATCCTGCGTTGGGACTATGTCTGTGAACCTAAGGGTTTGGGGGTCGGGATGAATGTGCGGGATTCCTCAGAAGCACGCAACCGTCCTGTTGAGGGGACAGCTTTTTCGAGGTCCGTCAGATGGGAGTAGCATGTTTCTGGTGGTTGAGCCAACTCAGGCTATACTCCTCTTTTGACCGATAATAGGCAATGATCTTACTCAAGACTTTGGAACTCTAGTATCACCAAATAATATGCTTACTAGACATTCGCTTCGACTCTGCTTAATGGGCTTCATGGGGCAATTTCAAAATTGCACACTCAGAATTATGTTGTTGTACGTGGTTCAACGGAAAACCCTTGGTGTGGAGGGTCTATGAATTTGTTCATGCACGCAGCACACAGTCCCATGTACATGAATAAAACCAAATGCTTTCATCTAGGGCCGCCTTGAAAAACCGGCAAGGTAATCTATAAGTGTATGGAGACCCTTGAGGGCAAATCTCCAATCTTCTCAACAGCCAGCCTAGTTTCGAACATTGTCAGGAAGGTGCGGGTGAATGTGCCGTAGTATCGAAACACCGCTTCCCTCAATGAGACGTCGTAGCTGTCCTGGGTCAGTGCCGGGACGTTCTTACACATTCGTAAGCTCCTAAACTTCTACACTGTGGTTGGCTTCCAACCGGAGAGACAGCATGTCATATGGTCGAAGACCGATCGGTTATCTGCGGACCTTTGATCAATAAACCACTAGCCACTATTTTAGGCACAGAGATTAACCCCCTCTGTCACAATCCTGCTAAGAAACAAGGTCTGATGCTCTTCAGGGGTCTGCAGCAACAAACAACCAAGGCGTTTTCCAATAGCAGCTTGAGTTTCGTCCTCGAAGAAATCCCGGCAGAGGGTGCTGACAATCAGTCCAGCTACGCACTGGACAAAAGTCAAGAGGCAGAAGCTCCAGAAGAGCATGTTGCTACTGGAGGCCAAACACCTGGGGTTAAGGTTTAGGGTCTAGGACTTCATGCCTTCTGGGATCTGTATTCCGAGTACATCGGGTGCAGTTTCCTTCAAGACTTTAGGACTTTGGGACGTATGCACAAGTCATAGGCAAAGCCAGCAATGGAGTACCTATAGCCTTCAGCCCGCTTTTGTAACCTTTGCTCACACCCACACATCGCGTATGTCCATGAAGCCCCAAACGCTGCGTTCCCATGCCCTATGAACCCTGATTCGCGAACCTTGAAACCCTAAGTCCTGAACCCATGTCACTGATCCCAAGCCCGCTTCTCTATTAGTCCACTTGTCACTTCACCTTCCATGGCGCTTTCCAGTTGATTTCCCGTACACTAGTAATTTTACTCTGAACACTATACGCCCTATATAAGCCCTATAGTACCACTCGACCTCAAACCCTACACCCTAAACCCTAAACTCTAAACCCTAAACCGTTAAACCCCTTTCAGGGGCTTAGAACTTCTGGCATCGGGGTGCTTCACCAGAAGCTGGAGAGAGCCCAACCTGAGTGAGAACTTCGGCAGGGTTGCAGTTACTTAGCGAACTTAAATTACAGTAAGAGTGTAGGGTTAAGGGTTAAGGATTTAGCTTCAAGGGCTTAGAGCTGAGGGCTTAGGGACAACCATTAGGAAACCAGATTGGTCTCCCTCTCTGTCTATATATATATATATATATGCAGCTTCTGGTTTAAGTTCCTTAACAGCACTCCAGTTTGGGAATTTCAGGCTCTAGGGCTTCGGGCCAAGGAGTTGGCGGGTATACCCCAAACCCCAAACCCCCAACCCTACACCCTTACTAAACCCTAAACCCTACTAGACCCTAAACCCTTACTAAACCCTAAACCCTACTAAACCCTAAAACCTAAATCTTGAACTCTAAACCTTAAACCCTAAACCCTACTTAACTCTAAACCTTATTAAACCCTAAACCCTTACTAAACCCTAAGCCCTAAATCCTCAACTCTAACCCTGAATCCTAAACCCTTACTAAACCCTACTAAACCGTAAACCCTACGATGCCCCAAACTCTACTAAACCCTAAACCCTTACTGAACCCTAAACCCTAGATCCTCAACTCTAAACCCTAATCCTAAACCCTACTGAACTCTAAACCCTACTAAACCCTACACCCTGACAAAACCCTAAACCCTAAATCCTCAACTCTAAATCCTAAATCCTAAACCCTTACTCAACCCTACTAAACCCTAAATCCTCAACTCTAAACCTTGAATCCTAAACCCTTACTAGACCCTACTAAGCCGTAAACCCTACTAAACCCTAAACCGTACTAAACCCTAAACCCTAAACCCTACTAAACCCTAAACCCTTACTGAACCCTAAACCCTAAATCCCCAACTCTAAACCCTAAATCCTAAACCTTTACTATTCCCTACTAAACCCTAAACTCTACTAAGCCCTAAACCCCATCAGGGCTTTAGGCAATAGAGCTTTCAGCCTGAACTCTTTACGGATGACGTCTTCAAGGATGAGGACTTCAGGGTGTGGCAGCTGTGGCTTTGGGGTGGAATATAAGGGCTGCATTAGGTGTTATACAAGGGTTATATGGGGATAATGGAGAAGAAAATGAAAACTGCTATTTAGGGTTTAGGGTGTAGTGCTTTAGGAATGAGGGTTGAAGAGGGCGAGAGCGCCGAATCCCTGGGAATCAATTTGTTTGGCGCGCTTGGGGCTTCCACAAACTAGGCCCCTTTTCGGGAGTACTTCTACTTGGCTTTGTACATTGTAGTATGTTGGGATTGATAGTTTGGGCCCGTTATTCATGGAAGCTACCTTGAGGTCTCTGACAGGCGGCCAACGCGCAGGGTAATCAGGAAAGATTTCACTGATGCCAGAACAGCGGAGGTCTTGATCCCGCAGCCCTATACTCTCTCCCAATCATGAAACCAGCCCCCGAAAACAGCAAACTTTCTCCATTTAGCACTGCCAGAGGTAAGTTGTAATCTTTGAGATAGTGACATTATTGCGAAATGCATAGCCTGACACCCAGTTTGTCCACACTCATGGCCAAAATTATTTGGGCAAGGGGGTAGCCCAGCAGGCCTCTGGATCCTGAAAAAGGCGCACTGCATGCAGGCCCTCCTTAACCTGTCAGCCCTGTTTAAGTCAATCCCCAGAAGTCTCGGAACAGCGGGAGGTTTTGAGGGACCGTCATCGGGGTCCCTAGTTTCGATTGCAGTGACCTCCCTATTGTTAGGGGGAACCCCGAGATTCAAGAGGGTCCCACAGTAGAGACTATCTTCGAAGAAAAGGATGCTGTTGAGAAGCTCTCTGTTTACCTTCGCACACCGCAGACTAAACCCTAAAGGCAAACTACTGCTGAGCCTAGCGACACGCTTGTCATGTTGATCATGCGGATGGCACGTGCGAGCTTTCCCAGGCGAAGTAAGCGAAAAAGGATTGGGTTGACAGGAAGCTTCCTCGGCTCTCTAGGATTCTAGAATATAGTCTAAACTCCTTAAAGGGGGATTATATGGGGATTCTGTAGGGGACTACTGTGGGGGTTACGAAGGGGGAAACTAGGAGTGTAGACTATGGGAATGTCTGAGTAGCGCTGACCTGGTGCTGGAAGGAGACCCCAACAATTCTCAAGTGTATCCAGGAGACCAGTATCTTGATCAACCACACATGACGCATGACAGCTACTACTTCTTTCGCATACCTTTCTGGCCAGTAGTCTGCTAGGATCTATTTGCATCATAAACGAAGCCAGGAGCAGGAGGACCGCGCAGGCCAAGAGCTTTATGCTGTCAAAGCCATGAAGAGGCTACCGGGACCTAAAAGCAGTTAATTAAAACACAACCGAGTGTCATTGTGTAGAGGACGGCAAACTCTGCCACATTCGTGACACTCACACAGACATCCAGGTAGTTCATGAACTGCTTCCAAAATTTCGATCTGAGGACGCATATGCGAACAATCACGTCCAGTACGAAAATACCGGTGAAAATGAGGTCTCCAACTGTCAGCACCGACTCCCAAGTGGGAACCGCCGAGGCAGCAACCGGCATCTGAAACACATTAAGCTTGTAGCCAGCTATGGACCCGAAAAATTGGAGATCCATCGCCATCCACAGCACATTGAAGCAAAGAATGATGGCCATTATGGACTCGTAGCGGTTGGATTGGAGCCAGAGCTGCCACTGCTGCAGCCGGGTCATCTTGTTATACCGAGCCAGAAACTCGGAAGGCGTCTCCGTGGCGAAGTACTCTGACTTCCCCGGCGTCAGGTAATCCATGTTTGCTTCTGCATACCTGGGCCATTGCGTGAATAACAAAATTGCTGATGCTCGCCGAACCTACTACTCCTTCCCTGTTGGTTTCAAGCCCAACAACTCCACAAAGTGTGCCGGACCGCTCAAGAGTGTGAAGCAAGTGTAGCTGCTGGTCAAAGCCAACAACTCCTTTCACTTTAACATGATATCCACACCATCTGGCAAACACACACGTATGCATCCATGTGATTTCGATACCATGCAAACTCAGTCAGCCTTTTGCTGTAAACAGAGCCGCCAAAACCTAAACCTGAGGCAGTTCACGGAAAATCTTAATTAACCCTAGTCCCTGAACCGCAAACCTACACCCCAATCTTTACATGATTCAACAATTCCCATTTTCTTCTCCAGTTCCCTATATACCCCTATATATCTCTTTAGGGTGGGGCTAAACCCTAAGCCCGAGGTACAAGGAAGACACAAAGTGCGGAGTGTTGTTAACTTCAGGCTCCTCCGTCGCCTCGGACTCAAGCTTCTCCAAGATGTCCCTAGCATTGACTTTCCTTGACAAGTTTTGGGCTTAAGGGCTTAGGGTTCAAAATGGTTCGAAAGATTAGGGGGGGGTACCGGATCGGCATATACCACAAAATTTTTTGATGTCGTTCATCCAGTAGCCACATCGCATCATCAGGTTATGCTTGAGAGTTTAGGCAAAGGGCTTAGGATTTTCCTCATCAAAAAGGAAAATTAGTGCTTCTGCTGTTTCTGCAAAAGCAATCCGTGCCTAACCAGAAGACAAACTCTCCAAATACCTTCCTGCTGATGCTGGATGAAGTCTTGATACCTCTATGGGTTCCTACGCCTTATGCGTTACATGAACCCATTGCTCCTTTGGGACTTTGCATGGTGACACAAGCCGTGTCACGTACCTACAAGGGGATGGGATGGAGCAAGCCTGAGAAGGAAAAGGTCCGGGGGCCCTTTTCAAGTCCTGCGGAGGTCATTGCACACACTTACCATGAGAAGTCGTCAATTCTTTATGCTAGCTGACATGCTTACCCATGCGTAAAAGCTGCTTGCATAACACCGTTGCGACGAGTCTGCGTCCTACCGTTGACAGGATTTCTGTAAGCGCCCATGCCAAAGCTAGCAGTCTTGCTTGATACTCTGGCCTGCACAGCATAACTGAGAAATTTTGAAGCAGTATTGATACCACCACCCCCTTTTTGGAGTGCTATTTGGAGAGATACAGCCCCTTTCTCTGTACAACACCATGTCATACGGATGAGAACCAGGGTTCGGATTTTGGAGTTACGCTGTTCCGTGTAGGATCTTGGCAGTACGCCTGTTATCCTTCTGAGACGGTAATTTCTCCGGACAGAGATACCCCAATATGAACCCAAAATACTGTAGTGTCCTTATCATGGTGACCCCGAAAAAGGTACCCCTAATTTTGGGAAACCCATATTGACTGCAAGAATCCGTAATTTCACTCCACTTTTGCTCTAGTCCTTTGATCTCCCCCACATGGTTTTTCTTCCCAAAATTGTAGGGGGGTGTCCCCACAATCAGCATTTTAACATTTTAACGTTTTAGGGTCTAGATTGGGTCCCCCGTGCAGACAAACTATCATATAACCTCCACATGATCCTTCACAACCACCCTGCCCAGCCCAGTGCAATCTTACCAGAACCACAACACCTTACCACATATAGGAAGTCTCACAGTATTTTGTATTGTATCTT